ATTCTTTAGGGATTTTTATGTACAGTATCATGTCATCTGCAAACAGGGACAGGGTGACCTCTTCCTTTTGAATCTAGATGTCTTTTATTTCTTTATTTTGTCTGAATGCCATGGCTAGGACCTCCAGTACTATGTTGAATAAAAGTGGGGAGAGTGGGCACCCTTGTCTTGTTCACAATCTTAAAGAAAAAGCTTTCAGCTTCCCGCTGTTAAGTATGATGTTGGCTGTGTGTTTGTCATATATGGCCTTTGTTATGTTAAGATACTTGCTCTCTATACCCATTTTGTTGAGAGTTTTTGTCATGAATGGATGTTGAATTTTGTTGAATGCTTTTTCAGCATCTGTGGAGATGATCATGTTATTTTTGTCCTTCTTTTTATTGATATAGTGGATGATGTTGATGGATTTTCAAATGTTGTACCATCCTTGCATCCCTGGGATGAATCGCACTTGATCATGATGTATGATCTTCTTGATGTATCTTTATATTCAGTTTGCTAATATTTTGTTGAGTATTTTTGTATCTATGTTCATCATGGATATTGGTCTGTAGTTTTCTTTTTTTGTGGTTTCTTTGCCAGGTTTTGCTATTAGAGTGATGCTGGCCTCCTAGAATGAGTTTGAAAGTACTCCCTCCTATTTTTTGGAAATCTTAAAGGAGAATGGGTATTATGTCTTCTCTATATGTCTGATAAAATTCATCAGTGAATCGATCTGGCCCAGGGGTTTTATTCTTGGGTTGTTTTTTGATTACCGATTCAATTTCGTTGCTGGTAATTGGTCTGTTTAGATTTTCTGTTTCTTCCTTGGTCAGTCTTGGAAGGTTGTATTTTTCTAGAAAGTTGTCCATTACTTCTAGGTTATCTATTTTGTTAGCATATAGGTTTTCATAGTATTCTCTAATAATTCTTTGTGTTTCTGTGGTGTCTGCAGTGATTTTTCCTTTTTCATTTCTGATTCTGTTTATGTGTGTAGATTATCTTTTTTTCTTGATAAGTCTGGCTAGGGGGTTATTGATTTTGTTTATTTTCTCAAAGAACCAGCTCTTGGTTTCATAGATTTTTTTTGTTTTATTCTTCTTTATTTTATTTATTTCTTCTCTGATCTTTATTATGTCCCTCCTTCTGCTGACTTTGGGCCTCATTTGTTCTTCTTTTTCCAGTTTCAATAATTGTGACTTTAGACTATTCATTTGAGGTTGTTCTTCTTACTTTTAATAGACCTGGATTGCTATATATTTTCCTCTTAGAACTGCCTTCGCTGCATCCCACAGAAGTTGGGGCTTTGTGTTGTTGTTGTCATTTGTCTCCATATATTGCTTGATCTCTGTTTTTATTTGGTCATTGATCCATTGATTATTTAGGAGCATGTTGTTAAGTCTCCATGTGTTTGTGAGCCTTTTTGTTTTCTTTGTACAATTTATTTCTAGTTTCATACCTTTGTGATCTGAGAAGTTGGTTGGTGCAATTTCAGTCTTTTTGAATTTGCTGAGGCTCTTTTTGTGCCCTAGTATGTGGTCTATTCTGGAAAATGTTCCATGTGCACTTGAGAAGAATGTGTATCCTGCTGCTTTTGGGTGGAATGTTCTATAGATGTCTGTTAGGTCCATCTGTTCTAATGTGTTGTTCAGTGCCTCTGTGTCCTTACTTATTTTCTGTTTGGTTGATCTGTCCTTTGGAGTGAGTGGTGTGTTGTAGTCTCCTAAAATGAATGCATTGCATTCTATTTCCCCCTTTAATTCTGTTAGTATTTGTTTCACATATGTAGGTGCTCCTGTGTTGGGTACATAGTTATTTACAATGGTTATATCCTTTTGCTGGAGCCCTTTATCATTATGTAATGTCCTTCTTTGTCTCTTGTTACTTTCTTTGTTTTGAATTTTATTTTGTCTGACATAAGTACTGCAAAATCTGTTTTTTTCTCTCTATTTTTTGCATGAAATATCTTTTTCCATCACTTTCCTTTCAGTCTGTGTATGTCTTTGGGTTTAAAGTGAGTCTCTTGTAGGCAGCATATAGATGGGTCTTGCTTTTTTATCCATTCTGTAACTCTGTGTCTTTTGATTGGTGCACTCAGACCATTTACAGTTAAGGTGATTATCGATAGATATGTACTTATTGCCATTGCAGGCTTTGGATTCGTGGTTACCAAGGGTTCAAGGGCAGCTTCTTTACTATCTAGCAGTCTACCTTAACTCACTTATTTAGCTATTATAAACAGTCTGGTGATTCTTTTTTCTCTCCCTTCTTTTCCTTCCTCCTCCACTTTTTATATGTTAGTTGTCATATTCTGTACTCTTTGCATATCCTTTGACTGACTTTGTGGGTAGGTAATTTAATTTTTCATTTGGTTAGTATTTATTTGGTCTACTTCCTTTGCTGTGTTTTATTTTCTCTGGTTACAGCTATTTCGTCCTAGGCACACTTCCGTCTAGAGCAGGCCCCTTAAAATACACTGTAGAAATGGTTTGTGGGAGCTAAATTCCCTCACTTTTTGCTTATATGGGAATTGCTTAATCCCTCCTTCAAATTTAAGTGGTAATCTTTCTGGTAGAGTATTCTTGGTTTGAGGCCCTTCCATTTGATTGCATTGAATATATCATGCTACTCCCTTCTGGCCTGTATGGTTTTTACTGAGAAGTCTGATGATAGCCTGATAGGTTTTCCTTCGTATGTGATCTTTTTTCTCTCTCTGGCTGCTTCTAATAGTCTGTCCTTATCATTGATCTTTGCCATTTTAATTATTATATGTCTTGGTGTTGTTCTCCTTGGGTCCCTTGTGTTGGGAGATCTGTAGACTTCCATGGCCTGAGAGACTGTTTCCTTCCCCAGCTTGGGGAAGTTTTCAGCAACTATTTCTTCAGAAACACTTTGTATTCCTTTTTCTCTCTTCTTCTTCTGGTACTCATACAGTGCGAATATTGTTCTGTTTGGATTGGCTCACACAGTTCTCTAAATATTCTTTCATTCCTAGAGGTCCTTTTTTCTCTCTGTCTTAGCTTCTCTATATTCCTGTTTTCTGATTTCTATTCCATTTACTGTATCCTCTACCTCATCTAATCTGTTTATAAATCCCTCCATTGTTTGTTTCATTTCTGTTATCTGCCTCCTGAATTCATCCCTTAACTCTTGAATATTTTTCTGTAACTCCATTAGCATGCTATGACTTTTATTTTGAATTCTTTTTCAGGAGGATTGGTGATTTCAGTCTCACCGAGCCCTGTTTCTGGTGTTTGAGGGATTTTGGATTGAATCAGGTTCTTCTTTTCATAGTTCTGGAGCTATGGGAGTGGTCACAGGCGAGTGGCACAGGTGTCAGCTGGGAGGACAAAGTCCCTTCCTGCTTGCCAGTAGTTGTGCTGTCGCCGCTGTTTCTGCCAGTTAACCACACGCAGGGTGGGGCCTCTGGGTTAATCCCCTAAACTGCCATGGGCTGGGAGGCCCTTGGGATGGCCTGGGGTAATGGCAGGGTCTCAGGTAAGCGGCACAGGTTCTGCCATGAGAACAAAGCCCTTTCATGCTTCCCAGTCTCAGCTCCTGTCTCCACTGTCTGTGCCAGTTAACCATGTGCAGGGAGCAGCCTCTGCGTTTGGGCTGGTTAGCCATGCACAGGGAGAAGCCTCTGTGTTAATCTGTTTAGTTGTTGTAAGTGGGGCTGCCCTCTGGCTCATCTGCAGCAATGGTGGGGACAGCCAGTTTGCACACAGTGGGGAGGAAGGAGTGGCAGGCTGCTCGGGGCTGCATTGCCAACCTGGGGGATAGGGCGCCTGGAGCTCCTGAAATTTCCCAGCCTGCTGGTATGAGTGTGCCAGGATGTTTCTGTCCACCTGATAAACCCTTGTCCCTTTAAGACTTTTAAAGTGCCTGCTTTTCTTTTGTCCCAGGATACCTGACTATGGGAACCTATTCATGGTCTTAGTCTCAGATTTTGCTTTTCCACTCCTCTAATATCCAGAGCACCATGCAATGTGTGTCTGTGTTCCTGAGGCAGATTACTAGGGCTGGTTATTTAGCAATCCTGTGCTTCCACTCCCTCCCCACACTGATTCTTTTCCTCCCACCCATGAGCTGGAGTGGAGGGAGTGCTCAGGTCCCACCACGTTATGGCTTTTTATTTTACCCTTTTCTATGAGGTGTTGACTTCTCCCAGATGTAGACTGGCTGGTGTACTGTTACTTCTGGTCACTCTTTTAGGAATAGGTGTATTTGCTGTATTTTCAAAATATATTTGGTTTTGGAAGGAGATTTCTACCACATTACTCACGCCGCCATCTTTTCTCTGCCTCCCCTGATAAGACATCTTGAGAATGGAACAAGCAAGGTGCAGAATGACATATAATAAATGTCTATTTGGCAAAAACACACACAGGTGTATGTATGGGGGGGGCAAGGGGTATATTTGAATGCATGGAAGTGATCTGGAAAGATATGATCCCAAATCATAACAGTGTCCCCTCTGCTGAGGATGCAGGTTACAGGCTACAGTGGTGATGGTCAAAGGGAACTAGACCTTTGATCTAGTATTTGTGGTTTGTTTTCATTTGTGTGCAAGCAAGATGATAACATTCACATTCTTAGGTAATTTTGAAAAAGTTAGGGTGCTGATGCAAAGAATGAAATAGGGGATAATTTGGAATTTCCTATTCAGGTCAGTCCCATCTCCAAAGTCTCAGACTGTGAGGTTGCATGACTCTAAATTTGTAGGCACTGACGCGCAGAAGGCAATGGGAAAACCAAATCATCACTTAATTGGTAGGGGAGACAGCACTTTTGCTAATGCTTTTTTTTTTAGTGAAAGAGTATTTGGAGTTTTAGAAATCTGAGTATTTAGAGAACATTCTGGTAAAAAATTACCTGGCCCAGGTCAGAGTGAGAATCTGAGCAGGAAGGAAGGATGCATGTCTGTGTTCCCATCAACCCGGGCATAAGGCCCCACTGTAGTTGTTCACAGTATTTTTTAAATGCTTATAAAATTGAAATGGTGATTCTGTGTGTTGTAGATGGAGACAAGAGGCCTGGACTTCTGAGCTTCTACTGGAAAAGAGAAGATGGGCAAGGCCTTCAGGATGCCAGGGAGGCTGGTGTAAACTGATGTGAGCCACGACATGCTGGCTTGAAGGGTATGTGCCATTGGGACTGGAGGGCCCAGTGCTGCAGCCTCGGGACCTTCTTTCAGGGCCAGGTTCTCCGGTGTGGTGGTGGGCATGGGGCTCTCACTCAGTCATGCTTGTGTGGATGCGGCTTCCCTCTGATAGATGGGCAAATGCCGACCTGTTGGCAGGCACTCAGTTGATGATGCAAACCAAGATCAGGGCCACCCAGGAGAGTGTGAAATACACCTGCTCACTATTATGGAGCACTAAGTGTGTGCCAGCATGGCTCTAAGCCCTTTAGTGTGTTAATTTATCTAATTCTCATAGCATGACCTCGAGGTAGGCACTGCTGTTGCCCCATCTTAGGACTGGGGCTGCCAGGGAGCACAGAGAACCTGGACGATTACTGGGAGCACAGTTATCACATGGGGCCCTGGCCCAGCCTAGAAGCCCTGGGCCCCACTCCCTTCCTCATACCTTTCCTGCAGCCTCTCTTGTCCCCACCTTTCATCTGTTCTCATAGTCACAGGTCTCCATATGAAGGGGAATTAACATCGAACGGGTGACAGTATACGTTACAATGGCAGGTCCTGTGTTCCAAAAATGGCCACAACAGGCCTGTGGCTCTCCAGAACCTTGCCATGTCCCCCAGGCAGGAAAGCCCATTTCCCCTCTCCTTGGATGAGTGGGACTTGGTGACCTCCCGGACAGAGAGAAGGTGACAGGAGTGACACTGAGTGACTTGGAAGCCAAGATCAGCAAAGGAGACACGGCTCCCACCTGGCTCTCTCATTCTCTAGGCACACTTGCATTTGAGACCAGTGGAGAGGAAGCCCAGGCCCCATGGAAAGGATGCATGTAGGTGTTCTAGCCGACAGCCCCACCTAAGGCCCACCCAGCCATGAGCCAGACCCTGGCAGCTACTTCCACTAATGCCATGTGTGGTGGACCATTCAACAAAGTCATGAGCAAAATCAGCATTGTCATCATTTTGAACCATGTCGCTTAAGCCCACTGTGACACCATTTAAGGTAGATGTCATCACACTCATTTACAAGTTAGAAAATGAGAGAAAGATCCTGGGTTTGAACCCAGGCTTTGAACCCTGAGACACAAGTGCACCATTCCTATGAGCAGAAGTTACAGATGAATGAATGCAGAAGCTACAGATGTGATATTTCAACTTTCAAACCAAACTCTGTTGTCCAGTGTTGTACATCTGAAGATATTTTCAGCTGGATAATAACCTAATGAAAGAGTCACTTCCAGTCCTGCCATTTGCTGATATTGTTTAGATTCCTGCTGCATTTTATTGAGGTTATAGATTTATAAAAGTCAAGCATGAAGGTGTTTTATGTAACAGGAAAACAAATGAAGTGAAAAGAAATCTCAACCGCAGAAAACAGAGCTTTAGCGCCAAGCTTGTGGGTCCACCATAGCCCCAGCTCTCTGTTCCTTCTGGGCCAAGAGCTGGGCCTTTGCTGGCCCTTAGACAGATGCTCTCGGAGCAGCCAGCCCATCTGGCATAAGAGGACAAGAGAATAAGACACTGGAGAACTGGCTTTATGTGGTCTGTTGTGACTATTTCCTTCCTATATAAATGCTGCTGGTCTGGGCTCACACATTCAGTTCTCTCAGGAAGCTGATTGACTTCCCTCCTTGATCTTAGCTCATGTTACAGGAGAAACTTTTTCCTATCATGTAAGGTAGTAATCATTCCTGTGATCAAATGCTTCTGTGTCATCAGTGGCGCTATTTCTTGTTTGATTTCAGACACCCAGACACCAAGGAGGGGCCTGTCTCCTGGACGCCTCCTCTCATTTCTGCCAACATGGACTCTGGCCCATAGTAGACAGTGAAAAAATACCAAAGAGCATTAAATGTGAATTCCTGGTGTACATGCTGAAGTCCGACCTTGGGGCTAAAGATTTGTCCTTAGAGGTCAAGATTTCTTTTTTACTTCCTCTGTGACTCCTGTTACACAAAACACCTTGATGCTCGACTTTTATAAATAAATACCATCAATAAAATGCAACAGGAATCGAAACAATAACAGGAACTGGCAGGGCTTAGAGAATCTGTTTCATTAGGTTGTTGTTCAAGTGGAAAATATTTTCAGATGTGCAACATTGGACAATTGACTTAGGTTTGAATGTTGAAATATGACGTATGTAACTTCTGCATCCATTCTGCTCAACGTTTGCTAATAGAAGTGGTGACTTGTGTCTTCCACCTTGCATTTAGTTACATGCATGCTTAACATTGTGCCACTTGAGAACTCTGAACAATTCTTATCTCTACATAGTCCAGAATGCCCAACACTGTGCCCTGCGCTTAGTGGGTGTGGGGCACCATTAATAATGGACGTGGCAGCAGGATAGAATATGAGGAGTTTTTTTAATCTGAAGGACAACTAAATGTATGCAAGATGTTAGGCAAGTTTAATTTGTTAATTATATTTCTATTTCCTAATCTATCAGTTAGCTTTTGTTGCCTACAAAAAGCCACCCCAAAATTTAGTAGCTTAAAACAATAGCCATTTATTTAGCTTATGATTCTGAAGTAGGCAGTTTGGGCAGGGTCCAGCTGTAGACTAGTCAGGGGCAAGGTTGGCTGGGAGCTGATTGGTTACTGGTGGCCTCAACACAGAACCCTCACCTCTGTTGTGCATGTATCTCATCCTCCAGGCCAGTCAGGGCTCCAAGAGAGAGCGCACATATGGCTTCTTGAGGTTAGCCTTGAAATGACAGTCACATCTGCTAAAGTCTGTTGGTTGAAGCAAGTCACAGGCCAATCCAGATTCAAGAGAAGAGAAATAGACTCTGGCCCTTGATGGGAAGGATTGTAAAATCACCTTGCAAGGAGCAGGCACACAGGGAGGGTGGAGAACTGTGGCCATCTTTTCAGCGCACAGCACCGAGTAAGGTGCAGATACAGTATCAGGGGAATTAATGGCTTTACAACAGAGGTGGTGGAAAGGAAATCATTTGCTTAGTTTGCAATTTATGAGAAAAATAGAACTGGATTCAGAAGAGAGTGGATAGCAAGACAATGCTGAGATGGACACAGAAGAGCCCTGGACAACATCCTCCATTCGTTGTCCACCTAAGTCTGTAAAAGGCAGGCTTGAGATGGGAGGGAATGGTGACAGAGCACAGGGTGGATGGTGGGTAGTGAAGAGACCATCTTTTCCTTTGCTGCTCTTTTCTCTGCCATTGTCAGCTGGGGGTGGCAGGTGATGAGGGCAGCAGGCAGCTCAGAGGTAGAGTAAAGCAGTCCCTTTCGTGTCTAAATCTGACCCGGAATAGCAGTCATTCTGACTACTTCCTGCCACTGAAACTTCAGGTTCCTTGCAGTTTGGCTGATGGGTTTTATTTGCTGGGAGACTTGGGGGCCAGCAAAGAGGGATGGAAAGGGCCCAATGGTTTGTGTCCTGAATTGCTTTTTTCCCCTGGAATTTCAGGACAGCTTCAACCTAGGAACACTTGGCCTTTTGAAATTACCACTGCATCCATGTGACATTCCATGGTGACAGTAGCCCTGTAAGGGTGGGGTCATTATTACCCTCCCTTTGCAAATGGGAAAACGGTGCTGTGAAGGTGGGTCAGTTGTCCTCCATCACCAGTGAGGCAGTGGCAAAGGCGGTGCTTGAAGCCAGGCTGGGTGAGGGGCCTCACAGTGCACTTTGCTGAACTCCGCTGTGCCCACATGGCCTCACACAGTTAGACAGCCATGGCTGCCTCCACCAAGTGTAAGCAGAGCAAATGGGATTTTCTCCTTCCCCATCTCTTGCCACAGTTTGGAGGAGGTCTGAGGAGGGTGTCAGGGAGAGGCAGGGCTGGTAGGAAGACATCACCTGTGGAGAACTCATCAGCAAGTGGGAGGTAAGCAACTACCTTTGGGAAAAATCCCCACCTTCCCCTGGGACACTGAGGATGGGTAATTTTTAATCCATCTCTTCATCCCCCTGGCTGAGTCCTGAGTCCCTCCGGAGGCTGGATTTGAGCACCCTATTTCATGGTACCCCAAGGAGTGCTCTGGTAGTGTCTAGGGGCAAGCCTAGACCTCTGTCCACCAGACCATAGTTCCTGGGCCACTTCTGAACCTGTTTGAAGAATTTCTTACTCAGGGCAGCTCCTGTGGAAATACTGCTGTGCCTCAGCCACCTGCACCGAGGAGCACACCCCACTGGACAGCACTCTGTCTTCTCTGGCTCTCAGGCTTCTCCTTCCCCGTGCAACAGAATTTCACTGACTCTGGTCAATGGAGAATGTTTTCTCTGATGCCTTTTCAGCTATGGTGTAAAGGCTAGTGCTGCCACCAGCTGGCTGAGAATTACTGAGTGCATCCCTGAAAGTAGAGTTTATTCCTTTTCTTTTCATTCTCTTTTTTACTTCCTTCTTTTCCCCTTCTTTCCGGTTCTTTCCAACAAACAGAGGCAGCTTAGAGGCCTGATAGCTCATAAGAATAAACAAGTCTGGTGTGAAATCTAGTGGCATTTATTTCAGGCTTGCCAGGTCCTGCTCCAGGTGCATCACGAGCTGATGCCTCACAACAGCTTTGAGAGGCAGAAAGGCATGATTTTTGTCCCCGTTTTACAGGCAAGAAAACTGAGGCACTGAGAGGGGGAAGTCATCATGTGTCATGATGTGTGACATATTCAAGCTCTTGATGAAGGTTAGTTTTTATTTGAAAAAATGATCTGTGTCTTAGTTTGGGTTAAGAATTAGGGCACAAGTCTGTATATGGGCAGTGATGCCTGGACACACAGGGAGTGGGCGGTGGGATAGCGAAGGAAGAGAGGCCACCAGAGTGTGACCATGACCCACGGATTCTTGTAAGTCTCCTTTGCTCTCTACCTCGGCTCTCACTGTGCAACACATCACCCCCAAACTCTGGGAGAAAGAATAACAAGCATTTATTTAGCCCATGCAACAGAAGGTTGGCTGGGGTTTCACTGATCTGGGTTGGGCTAATTTCTTCTTTTGGGTGGTTGATCCAGGCTGGGCTCAGCTGGGTGACTCTGC